AATACTGGACCAGTACTCCCAGGTTTTCCAATGGTTCTCTAACTAATGTCAGCTCATGATGAAATCCTGTAAACTATCATAACTTTACTAGACAAAAAATAGGCAGAAATTAACTTCTGATAATACTGAAAACAAACACAAAACTTCGAAATAAAATGTAAGCAGTATTATCAAGAAAACAGGCAAAGTTAAATTTTAAACACCAGCAAGTGCCAACTGAAAAAATGACCCTGAATGCACCATCCAGATGATAACGGCGATTTTCTGCTTACAAAATATGCATATGCATAAAAATAATGAATAAACCGGCATGAAACTGTATGTTACACAGGACACCTTTCTCTGATGTGTAATCAAAAAGCATCTCATCCCTTTTTGGATTAGAGTGTCAACAGACTAATGTAACTAAATTCCAAACACGCATTCAACTAGATCGTCTAATCCTAACCCTAACCCTAATGCAAAATCATCTCTAAACTCATAAACTCTAATTATATTTTGATCTATTCTCTGCAATGCTCAAATGTTTTACTGACATTAATCTCTAAACTAATCCTCTAATCTAACTGGAACTAATCTTAGTGTCGTCCATGTTAGATTAACCTAACCCTATCCTGTCCTCAGCCGAAACAGTAACTTAATCTTCCCAAAGGTAACCTGAAACTTACTAGATCAGTAAATAACATGATTATAATATTATTTGCCAGGTTTCATTCACTCACTCAGTCAGCGTTTCAAGGTCATTGTTTCTGAAAGTTTAACTTAGCCAGAAAAAGTCTCCTAAAATACCTAAAACTATTCAAAGCATGACTGATATTGGTAGAAGGGTAGATTTTTACAACCAATATAAATAAACATTCACTTTGTAAAGATAATAGGAGTTAAGCCTTGGTGCATCCTACCGTCATCAGTCATAATTCTTTTTTGACACAGTAATATTTCCCTACGTGCGTCGATGGCACAGTGGTTAGGACTCTCGCCGACCATGTACATGGTCCGAGGTTCGATCCCCTGCCGACGCACACCTGATATCTATGGTCGGCCTGCAAAATTTGGGCTACCGATATCCATGCTGAAAATTCCATACTTGTACCAAAAATACAGTGTGAAATCAAGCTGTAATCAAAAGTTAAAAGTTAAGTTAAGTGAATTAAGAAATGATGCTATCCTACTAATTAGAAGTATTCAAAGAGTCTTTCTGTGATGCACCAACCAAATAGATTTTTTCACTGTTAAGAAATACTAAATTAGAGGACATGTTTTAAGCATCCGAATCTTTGTGTTCAGAAGAAGTGTGTTCAATTCCTCTCCCTTTCATGGCCCTGAACCTCAACCTAGAATAGTTACTACATGAGGTAACAACGAACAACTGTAAATTTTATTTTTATTTGTACTGCTAACTTTATTTCTGTGCTACAGATGTACATATATCAATCTTATTTTCACAATATATTATTAAATTATCTAATCACTATGCGAGAGTAGATATTCCCGCCCCCTCTACCCCTACCAGTAAACGCATATAAATAAATAATTGAGTGAATCTATGCATGTCTATATTTTCCAAGAGTTATTTTTGTAGAGATGTGATCAGTTTTAACTTTGACCACGGATTGACATCAGTTAGAGGACATCCGTTTCGTCCTAGCTCGAGACTCTTAGGCAGTACTCACCCAACAGAGTTCAAACCCGGGCCCTCCGGTTATTATTGTCCTGTAATTATCACAATGGAAATATGTGAATAGCAAATTGAATTTGGCTGCATTAAATAACATATTAAAAAATGTAAAATCACAAATCGTGGACCGTTAAGCCAAGTCCCAGTGCCGGGGGTGAAGAGACGCAAAGTAGGACGAAACAGCTGTCCAGTAGTTCCTAATGTTTTTCAGTGGTACTCTAAATGATATCATTTCGTGGTCAAACTTCAAATAAATGTAAAATAGTCCAAATAGGAGAGAGAGAGATATTGAAAAGGCAATTAGTACCTTAACAGCCTAGTAAAATTATGGCGATATAATGCGCTGCAGAGTTCACTGTCACCTTAAATCTTAAGATGATAAATTCTTTATTACCTTTTTTTACTTCGAAGAATGTTTTCAAGGTTAGTCAGTTGCAGAATTGACACAAATGGAATCATTATAATTCCACCGTGTGAAATAAAGAACTTATTTGTTTTATTCCTTTACGTTCCAGGTGGAACATACAGTTTCAGGGTAGAGCTTCGACGTTTCAATAGGAGAGGGTTGCTAGTCTCTCACGCTAACTTCCCTCTTTGCTGGCTTTACAATCGCCTGAGTACGTTATAGGAGTGCGTCAGCCAGGGCTCGAACCACGAACCTTGTTTCGGCGTGGATGGTGAACATTCTACCGTTGAGCCAGCGATGCAAAATTTCTAGCCAATTCATTATTATTTTATATTGAAAGGCATTATCTTTATTAAACATCGGTTCATTAGTACTCCGCTAGTCCGGGTTCGATCCTCGTTTGGTGCACTCCTAAACTTTGTCTGGCTTACTAGCCAGTGGTCGTCAGCCTGGATGAGAAGGAAGGCTAAACGTGAGTCTAACAACTTCATCCCGTAAATACAACACAACAACTGCCATTCAGACTTCAAAACCTTAAATTCCCATGTTAAACTCAAAACTGAAGGAATAAACAAAAGGCATTGGCTTGCTAGAAAAGCAAATAATATGACTGGTTTCTCTAACTTCTTCTTCTCTGAGAAATCCTCACAGATATGCTCACAACACATTATGTTGGATGAAAATTAGTGTTTGACAAATCCCTCCTCAAGGATGTAATTACAATATTTATGTATTTATTTAGATGTTTCAACTTAATTTGGAATTAATTCCTGTTTTCTCCTACACTGTATATCATTCTTTTGACATTTGCATATCACATGTTGACTTAATCCTTCACTCTAGTTTAATCTCTAATTTCAATGGTTCTCTTTATAGTTGTGTGATGATATTGATAATGTAGTTTTTTATGCTGTGATTTTCCTAGGGTGGATCAAGGTGATTCTGACCTTGGACTGTTTTCCAGAAGTGCTGCTGTGTGAGATCTTTGTGAACAGAATTTATCGATCTCACTCAGCTCATAATATTCTACTTGATTCTTACGGTTGAAGTTTTGTTAACTAATTTTTGCTCTGCGGCACTTGTTTTGCCCTTGGACGTTCCCTTTCCTTAACTGTATACTTGTGTAACGTCACTGTTAAAATAATTTTGAGCTTCTGATGTTATTGTTGTTGTATACAACCGTATTTTTTTATTTTCTTCACGTTTCCAGTGGAACATAGGGCTTCAAGCTAGAGGCTTGAAGTTTCTGTTGCAGTGTTTACTTTACAGGATGGGGTTGCTAGCCTTATGCCCAACCTTTCCTCTTTACCAACATTATTTCTGACTTAGCGAGGTAAACGAGTGCCTTGCCGGCCGGGGATCGAACCCTTGACCATGTGTATGGTCAATGAGCGCCCTAACCGCTGTGTCACCGACGCACATACAACCGTATTTGCTATCTTTGGAGCATTTTATGACTATGCATGTTTTCAAGGAAGTTTTGGTCAGTAGGATGCAGAGTCCTACGTTCACATCACAACCAGACAGGTTGTGATCATAGATTCAATTTATCACTAGTGACTGGTCATATTCAGTTACATTTACATTGCGTACGACCGACATTCTTGCTCCACACGAGCAGGCAAACTGACAAATACACACTAAGGTGGCCGAAAGTGGCATCTTATCCTTAAAGTAAGACTGGATTAACTGTCTGCTGCAGAATGTGATGCGTAAGGTGGCTCGATGTCACCTATGAATTCCAGGTTGATGAAGACAGTTTTCTTCAGAACAGTTCTCTTATAATTTCTTCAAACTTTACCAACTTTTTTCGTCAGATTTGATACAACTTATTTAGTATACCTAATATGAGACGAGTTACAGATTCTTCAAGGATAATAACATCTTGCAAGAACAAGTGGATAAAACATACCTTGATTAATTTTTAGATTTTGTTCTTTATTGGAGAATATTCTTGTTATTACTTATATGTATACCAATAAGCCTTATAAATTGTTTTATCCTTTCCATACCACTATTTTACCACATAATATCACAATTCCTCTATTTCCATACTTATTATTAACCATGATATGTGAATATATTGTACATTAATATTTAGATTGATTTTAAATGTATGGAGCTGGTGAGAAATGATAATGAATTATGAAATTATAAATGTTTGGAGGATTTCATCATGAGCTGACATCAGTAAGAAAATCATTGGAAACCCTGCACGAAGTACTGGGCAGCTGTCTTGTCCTAGTTTGAGACTCTTCAGTAGTACGCACCCACCGCCAGGGTTCGAAACGACGACCTTCTGGTTGCAAGGTCAGAGAGCTCTTAGACCATTAATCCACTGGAAACCGATCGAATGACCAGCCCATGAATTCTAACTTCTGCCAGTGGAACAAAATCCCTACAAAAGCCAGTACTTGAGAATCGATCTGATGATCACTAGCGACTGACCCTATTCAGACAATGACCTGGATTACTAATGGGAAGTAGTGACCATTAGAGTACAGCAGGTTGAAAGTGAAGACAGTTACTCAATAAAGAAGTCATTGCGAATTGGTCACGCTCTATCGTGAATCGAGAGAAGTTAGAATACATACACTGGCCATTGGTTCGGACTCCAGTGGTTAAATGGTCCACGATCTCTCTGGTCTTGTAACCAGAAGGCCCTGGGTATGAACTCTGGCGGTCGGTGCGTACTGATTAAGAGTCCCAAACTAGGCTGAGGAAACAACTGGCTGTCCCGTACTCGCAGCTAGTTTTCCATTGGTTTTCTAACTGATGTCAGCTCATGATGAAATCCTGTAACCCAATCACTCAAATCCCTACAAACACCAATACTTGAAAAAATCGATTAGGAACAATTAACTATTATTATGAATAATTCAATAAATAATAAATAATTAAAAGTAGCAGTCTTACCTTTAGCAATTTGACATTTACGATAAGCCTGTGAATAGTAGACAGCGATGACAGTAGCAATAATTAAAAATATCATAATTAATAGAAATAATAAAATAATTAGCAGATATAATAATTTAGAAGTACTATTCTTCAATTGATGACCTTTTCCAGTTGATGATGGTGTTGATGTGGAATTCAGTGGGATTATAACCGTATCTAATGCATCACCATCTTGATTTTTCTTCGTCTGATTCAAATTTGTCATTTTCACTGGATCACGATTTGTATTATTTGACATAATCAAAAATAAGAAAATTCCCAGTGATTTTTTTTATTGTTCTTGGGTTTGTTTATTGTTGCCGCTGTTTAAATCCCGCACAAAGTAAGCGGTGACTTTAAAATATGAGCAATATTATTGTATGTATATATATCACCTGGAATGCAAAATAGTTTGGTGTATGTGTGTGTATAAATTACTCAATACTTGATATAAGTAGTAATATTAATACTAAGAGTACAGAGGGTACTACTCCGTTGTTCAGTGATTTGGAGCATTTTGTATTTCATCACTAGCAATTAATATGTATGGGTGTATGTATGTGAGTATATATTTATATGCAAATGAGTTGAATCAGTTCATCGCTTCTTTATTGGTGTGCTTTTGCTAAAATAGAATTATATGCGTTATACGTTAGAGATAACAATGAAAGGTGACAATTATGACTTATAATAATAATAGTATAGTATACAGAAAGAATGAATATATATATGTATATATAAATATTCAAGGTTAAAATGTGTTGTAAAGAAGAGAAATATATGGATATTTTGCCCAATGAATATTCAGATGAGCTTTAATCCATCCTTCCACATATTATTAGCATTATTCTTTCTCTATTTCTAAGTATTAACCCAAGTGGGATATAATAATAGTAGTAGTAATAATAATAATAATACTATGAATAATAATCCAGTTTGATTTCATTGATTTAGGCACGTGAAGTAACAAAATCGATGAAAGCAATAACTGTGCTCCAGTTTTCTCAATTTCCTTTAATCTTTTCCCATAGTTATAGACATCAGAACATTGAATATCTGAAACAGTGAGTGATGATACAACAATGGCAACGCCAACGGCAAGAACACCAACACTCATCCATGTACGGACATAGTGTGTGTTTATATGCGGCAGTGGTGATTTCACTCTTCCAAACAAACACGAATAGTGTATTAATTCGATCTCTCTCGCTCTCTTGATGTTCTGTGTGAACACAAACACATGCGCGATCGCACACACACACACACACAAGCACTTATACACAACTAAGCTTAAAGAGACAGACAGAGTGGTTGTGCACACCTTAAAATTCTGATAGGATCATTAGGAGACTTTATGCCTGTCCGTAGAAAAATAGTTTCAACCATTAAGAAAATCTCCAGAATTCGACATATATATAAACACACAACACATGGGTATGTGTGAGTGTGTAGATATGAGTGTAGATATATTAGTGAGACAGAGTATGTCTGTGTTGTTGACTTTTCGGTTTTACAACATCTGTTTGTCCTACATACACACAAAAACACAGAGAGCGTTGGCATTCTTCAATGGGAAAACAGTATGTAAAGTTGTCATCCTAATTTTTTGTTTTTGGAATTGTTAGTATTTCCAGAGTGCTATTGTCGCAGAAACGCGACGATTCTTTCGTGAGAGAATTTCAAAATAATAAATATTCCCATAGTAATATATGTGTAAAACTTGGGTATTGTGGTAGTAAGTAATTTCATATTAGTTTGTTTATTAGATTTTCAACTTCAGTGTGAAGTCAGTACTACTATACGGATCAGAAACTTGGCGACTCAGAAAGAGCACCTCAAACAAACTTCAGACCTTCATTAACAGTTATCTTCGCTCAATATTCAGGATCAGATGGCCAGTCAGAAAAGATCAGAAGCAGGGATCTCTGGCAATGAGCGAACCAACCAAGCAGGAACCAACAGTGAAACAAATAGACAGGAAGAAATGCAGATGGATTGGCCAAACTCTGAGGAAACCATCAAATGACATCACTAGACAAGCCATCGCTCGAGTGGAACCCGAAAGGGAAGCGGCGAGTTGGTCGTCAGTGCAAGGGTCACTTGGATGAGGTCATGTGAAGAGGAGACGAAAACATGTTGGCAAACTTGTAGACAGGTGAAAACTCTACCAGGGAACCGGACGAAATGGAGACTCGCAGTTGAAGCCCTGTTCCTCTAGGAATTAAAGGAAATAATAATAATTGTTTATTAAATGTATCACATAGTGAAACAGTATTATTTACTGGATAACGAGGTTTCGAACACAATCTATCACTGTTCATAGTCATATCAATTGAAATCACGCGACTTTGAAACTTGGGTTTTTTTTAGTTTTGTTTGTCTTCTACTACCCTAACGACGACAAATAGGACAGAACAAAAAAAACTATAAAACTTAAGTTGTGTGATTATTATTGATGAGATGATTATGAACAATGATAGATTGTGTTCGAAACCTCGTCATCCAGTAAATGCTAATACTGTTTCACTATGTGATACATTTAATAAACAAACTAATATGAAATATTCCCATAGTAAAATTTTATTTATTTTTTTTATTTTTGATTGCAGCTTGATTCCACACCGTATTTTTGGTACAGGTATGGAATTTTCAGCATGGATATCGGTAGCCCAAATTTCTCAGGCCGACCATAGATATCAGGTGTGTAACGGCCAGGGCTCGAACCTCGGACCATGTGCATGGTCGGCTAGAGTCCTAACCACTGTGCTACCGACGCACACAATACATTTAAGCGAACAGTATCGTGCTTCCAATTAGATCTTATTAGGCCTAATGAACTCTCGTATACATAACTTTACAAATGAAAATCAGAATACAAGCCAATCATGGTGTTTTGTCTATAAGGATCATAAGATGTTGCATTTAATTTGTGCAGTTAGTCATGATAATTATAATGTTTTTATCAATAATAAGGATGAAAAATTGAGGCAGTCTATGATAACAAAACTAACGAAAAACAGCATGATTAAACAGACAAATGTTCAGGTAGACACAGTAGTTGATAAAGGCTAAGAAAAACAAATGAACCGACTACGTAATTCTAGATTATAAGGTGAGTAAATAAAATATAGTATGTTTTAATTAAGATGTGATAATATTAGGGGTTGATAAAAGAGAGGTTGAAAATTTAATTAAGTAAGGGCTGTTGGCAAAGTCATCTGTTGGTTATGTCTTAATAGGCCAACAAGGGAGGGATGATGGCTTTACAAACTTCTTTTGAATGCATAGATTAGGTTTGATAGTCCGAGAACCTATTGCTTCAGCTGTGTGCAGTAGACGAATACGATGTCTATTGGAAAGATTAGGTGGGATGCGATGAAATATCTTGAATACTTTCGTTTTCTCCAATACATGACCACTATCAACTAAATGTGACAAAGTGGAGATACGGATTGTTTTTGTCAGTCATTTGTCAGTCCACGATGGGAGATATTCACTAACATGTTGGCCAAGCTGTCTAGTAGTATACCCAACATAACTTTCGCTGCAGATGCAGTTGAATTGATAAATGCACAATGATGTGGCAAAATGTTTGCATTCCAATCATTTCTTCATCCTTGTTATTGATAGAGCAATTATATTCAATTATTATGACGACTAATTGCATAATCTTATTATCCTGTTGACAAAACACCAAGATTGGCTTATGTTTGAATTTTCCTTTGTAAAGTTATGTAGGTATATTGGAGTTAATTAGGCCTGATGAGAACTCATTGAAAGCACAATACTCATCACTTAAATGTGTGTTGTTCTAAAAGGAATTTTCCCCAGTCGATTGAATAACTGCTAATATCGAATACACTATCGAACAAAAAAAGGTATTTAGGTGAACAATCCTCACTTTCAGAATATTTCTTTCTAAAAAAGTGTATGGTTTCAATGAATAAAGTAAAAGCAACAAACGTATTTGCTGGATAATACGAGTTCGTTTTGTTTTGTGAATTCTCTTCACCTGCGTACGACTTAAACAATATCAAAATATAAGTTGGAATTTTTTTCAAAAAGCACTTTTTCACAGTGACGTCGAGTTTCTGATAGGAATTATATAAGCCATATAATTCCGAAAATGATGTAAGGAGACAAATTATCTAGGGCGATATACCAAGTGAAATAATTGCGAGGAAATTCAGAAAATCAGTTCAAGGAACTTTTAATGCTGGCGAAATTCGCGTCTTACTCTCTACACAACCAGAGGTGATTTCTCAAGTGAAAGATGAAGTACCTAGACTAGCAACCTTAAATTGCATCTACCAATTAAACTGCGCTTGTAGCTGAGCGAGTTGTATTGACTGTTGCACTATGAACTTGATTTTTTGTGCTCACTTGAGCACATCTCCCAGTATGGCTAAGTAAAGGTGTAGTAAAAACTATCATCAACAGTTCGATATTGGACCATCTGGTGCAAACCAGACACAAAGCTAGCCAGCGTGGAAGAATCCTCCTCTATAATTTACCGGGTGTCAAATAAATTGCCAGAAACATCGAAGCACCGCATGCTTCAAACACCAGAGGCTATTGCAATTCGCCGAGAACAACCAGTGCTCTGTGTTCAAAAGAAGCAAGTCCAGCCCCTACTACTGCCCTGGCCAGCCTTCAGTCGAGACTATAAATTTACTCATGAATTTGTAATATTATCTCTCCTAATTTCTCTGATATTCAGCTTATTTTATGTTGATGATACTGATCTGTAATCCACCAATATTATTGATTCGGTGTTATTTAAACAGCATTAATGTTGTTCATAACACTAATTCATTCATTCACTATAATGTGTATGTATAACTGTAGAGCTTGATGATGAAGGGTTATCGAAAACAGTATTCTTTGTTCATTATCCATTCTTTTGAAAAATTATCTAGTGTTAAACGACTAACTGTCTACAGCAGTTCATATTTCGCCTAGAAACAAGCATTGATTAGAGATATAATCCAAGATGATGGGATGTTCAAGACAGGGGGAGTGAATGGTAAAGTAAAATTAAAACATAGACAAACAATTAAGTCAATTAACTCACTTAATAGTGAGTTCAACTCAGGAAGAGAAGGTCAAAAGTTAAGTGGAATCTTACACATAAGAACGAATCTGTTACAGCTAATAAGGTGGTGAGAGATTACTCACGCCAACTGTTTTTGTATTCAGAGGTAGGGTGGGTTCTGCGGACCGGAACAGACATAGTTATCTCTGTGTATTGATTGTTTCGAAAGTCTGACTAATTCAAACTGCATGTTTCGCATCAATTAGGTCTCTAGAAATTTCACTTAAGAACACTTTGATGCCTTTCAAACGTAGGCTTTTAGGGTTATGCTCAGAAAGTCTAACAGATGTTGTCTTCTCAGTCCTCTCTGTGTGGTTTTTGCCACAAGCGGAAGTGAATTGGTGAAAGCATTTGGAGTTGACATGAGTAGAATAGTCATCTACTTTTCAGTGAGTTAACGAGAACGTCTTGTTGTAAAGTGGAATGAGCCTCACGATTTGAAATTTTTTTCATGTACCCTCAATTCCTTGTTTTCGATTCTTGCGGGTCATCCTCCCCCTATATACACTAGACAGATAAGAGAAAGTTTCAGCTTTTGCTCTAGGTGCTGATTCCTTTCCATAGTTTAATACGAACCCTCAGGGATATCCATTTGTGACGAAGCAATTTACAATAATTGCAGATTCTTATTCAGTCTTATTTTCTGTACATAACTCTCTAGCTATTCGACCAGGCTCCTTTTGTAACCGATTGTGGCTACTCCAGAAGAGTCCAAAACACGACGAGACAGCTGTCCAGTACTCCGTGAGGATTTTCCAATGGTTCTCTAACCAATGTCAGCTCATAATGAAACCTCCAAGCAATCAAACAAAATCCCGACAAACCAGTGCCTGAAGATATGAGTATTGACCAGTCCAGGTTTCTTTCTATGGATGAATTTTTTCAAATGTTCCATCATTTTTTCTGTCTTTGTTGAGCTTTGGGAAAGGGAATTGATTGGCATGTTTGTTTTCTGTCGTATGTTACATGATCAGTATGATACAAGATGCAAATAATGAGTAGGAAAAAATAAACAAATTATGGTAGGTCATCTGTCATGAAAGACACATTCCAAGATTCACTGGTGGAATTCAGGAAATAGCATTGCTTCGCACACTGGGAACGATATGTCAGTGTATCCTTTTGAGTGCTACAGGAGGTCAGTCATCTACCTGAAAACCCCATTGGTAACGCATC